CGGCGGGTGGAAGCAGCGGGGAAGCTGATGGGGAGCGCGAGAGCCCGCGGAGGGCAGCCCGAGCCGTTACGGACTGGTCGCCTTTAGGAGGCGGCGGGGCAAAGCGCTGCGCTCCGCGGGGCTTTGGCGGCTCGTCCCGGCCCCGGCAGCTCGGTGCTGTCTCATGGCCCCGCAGGCTGCGCAGCAGCGTCGTCGCTTGGTTTAGTTTAGTTTTGACCCATTCAGGTGACTTTGTCATGGAGATTTACCACAAAAAGGGGCCTTCAAAGTCCAGAGCTGCATCGGGACAGGGAGGTCCTTGCAGGGATGTGTCTGTGCTCGTGGCTAGAGTTTGGTTCCTGACCCTTGGAAGAAGGTTCAGGGCAGCCCAGGTGGTGCCAGCGTCTTGGCCTTTAGGTGCTCAGTGAATTTCTGCTCCTCCTCGGCGTGATACAAATGCTGCGATCTCCTCCAGCAGCAGCGTGGCAGCCTGTTCCCTTGACCAAGCACAGTGTTATGTGGTCCCAGCAGCAAAAAGGCTTGGCCGGGCCCCTGGCTCCCCTGGGCCTGCCTTGGGCCCACGGGTGTCTTCACAGATGCAAATATTCAGGAGACTCTCCCTTGCTTTCTGTGAACCTCAGCCTGCAAAATGGGTGCATGTTAGTAGCTCTACGCATGGGAGAAGCCTCATTGAAGTTACTGAAGTCACTGGCTATTATTGCTGCTGCTAGTAAATAGCCTTATAGTCCTCTGAGTCATAAAATATTTAATAAGTCCGAGTTCTGTAAGTGCAGGTCCCCAGTTTGATGTATTAAGCATGAAATGATGACTTGAGTGCTTTTCGTCCCAGGAACTGGCCTCTCGTTACTTCCTAGTTTGGGATGTGCTCGATGCTGGGGTAAAACGAGACAACCATATTAACACCATCCTCTCCCCACCTCCTCCAAAAAGCTTAATGAAAATCAGACCGTGGTTTGACACAGTCACCACACTTCTGCTCTCACCAAAGCGCAATATTCTGGTTGTCTTGTGTGATGTCAGCAGTTTGGCTACATTTCATCTCAGTGAATCTTTCTTATGGTTATTAAGCACAGGCTGTGTTGGAATACGTCTGCGTCTCGTCTCGTCTCTGCTGCCTGGACACAGCGTGGCCTCCTCGTGTCATCCGCTCGCGCTGCGCGTCCCGCTGCGATGCCAGCTCTGCCAGGTACGTCTGCGCGCAGCCCGTGATTCCAGGCTCTCATGCAAAGATCAGGGAGGCTTCTAGATGCCAGCTCTTTATTGAGGGCTGGGGCTGTTTGAGCGAATTGTTGTTATAAATTATTCACTCTGGCGTTACGTAGCGATGCTGTGATCACACATGCCTTCGTAGAGACGGGCAGATGCAATCTGTTTCATTTCCTGAGTGATCCCTGATGAAGAACATCCTTATTGATCTGTACTGGGCACTTAGATGCTGGCCAAGATAGCACAATATTCACCCATCCACCCATTTAAATAACTCTGATGACATCCAGCTTGCTTTGAGATATTCTGAATTTAATTTCCAGTTAACTTTATTAAGACTGCAGCTCTGTTTTCTCATGATAATCAGTGGAGTTTCTGGCTGGCTGCATTGTTTTACCTTCAAGCGAATGCTTTACATAAACACTAGAAAGCTACTGCTGTCGCTCCCATGGTTTTAATGTTTCTGCATGCTGCATTTGGGGTTGTACTGAACCAAAATAACAACTGCAAGCACGTTTTTCCCAGGAAATTAACAGGAATTTAGAAGGTCCAAGCTGGTGTTAAAAGTTAATGATCTGTTTGCTTGAATGACAAAGCAAAATAAAGAAAGACTTGATCAAATGCATTTCTTGATATGCCAACAGCAAAAATCAAAAAAAAAAAAAAAAAAAAAACTTGGCAAAAGAGCTAGTATTCCAGGTCTATCTACTGTCAGGGAGGCATCATTTAATATACGTTCTTGAGGCATACTCCATTTCCTAATTTGTAAAAATAAGATGGTGGTATGACTAGTTCTGTGTCTTAATCCCTTAGTCTTCTGTTGTCTGACCTCACAATTTTCATATCCTGATTATTTTATTTTTCCTTCTCTTAATACATCTGAAATGCAGCTGAGGCTGCACACAGGCTGCTGGCCCCCAAAGGCCTGACCTTTTGATAGCTGTTCTGCTTAAACACAGATTTTGGGCATGGTAGCAGAGTCCAAAGAGGTAGGATGTGTGCATTATACTGTGGGGAATGACACTGACCTTGTTTGCCAGGAATAAGAAGAGCAAGTAATTTTTTTTTTGTTCAGAATTAACTGTGAACCTTTAATTGTTTGGAAATGTAGTACTCGGGATGTGTGCGTTATACTGTGGGGAATGACACTGTCCTTGTTTGCCAGGAATAAGAAGAACAAGTAATTTTTTTTTGTTCAGAATTAACTGTGAGCCTTTAATTGTTTGGAAATGTAGTACTCTGCCTTGGGTTTATTTTCCTGTATCTTTTTACTGGGTGACTATAGTTTGCAGTATGTTAGTAAAGAGGTTTGTCTTTACTTGCAAGCAGAAGTCCTGGTAAATGTATGGTCTTTAACATATGTAAAAATAAAACCTGAAAAGAGATGCCCCACTCAAAACAGACTGCCCTACATTTTTGGTGATTTTTAGCAGAGAAGCAGACTCCTCTGTAGGGAGTGAAGGCCAGCTGGCAACTGGCTTCTCTCCCTGAGCACTGCTCACGATGTGGTCCACAGGCCACCTTTGGATTCATCTGCTGGTGTCTGGAGTTGCTCTTTTTTTTCCCCTTTCCTTGAGCTGCTTAAACCAGGCTGTGGAATTTCCCGTGCTGCTCCTGCATGGCAGGACACCCCGTTATGTAAGTCAGTGGTTCAGCATCTTCTAGGAAGCTCTGGTGTGAACCACTTCTCGATTTGCTTTTGTTGGAGTGTTGCTGAAAATGTGTTTGTTATCCTTCTGCTCATCCCTACAGAGGTTTCTTTCAAAAGTTTATGTATGTTTTATGAAGTGCACTTGTGCTCTTCCTCTGTAGGTTAATGTTCTTGCTATCAGCTGCAGTTCTCCACTATTGAATTAACTCCACACTGAGGTTTTTGCTTTGTTTTCATATTATTCTTTGACTTCTGTACTTGTTTTATTCCTTTGCGCAATCTGAAACTGGAATATGAGAATTCTGTCTAAAATTACCAGATCACATGTATGACCTCAATGCAGGCTAAATAAAGTCTTTAATTGGGAGACAGAGGCTGTCTTTAAAAGTACTCCTGTTGTCCAAGTGAAAGGTAGTCTGTTTGTGAACAAAAATTATCCTTAAACACGCGTTGCTTTTTACTTAACAAAATTGGGATGGTTGGAACAGCCGGTGAAGCGATTAGAGTGCTCTGGAGACAGTCCTGGGGGTAGTGAGGAGGGAGATGGAGGCAAATGTTTGTTCGTAGATTCTTTTGCTTAATGTGGCTTTGCAGCTGAATGCAAGACGATGTGCTCGCCTGGCAGAGAGCCTGCCTTTCACTAGAGAGCTTTCCCCCTGCTCGTTCTTGTAGGTACTTACAGCCTGCCATGTTTTGTCCTTTCTTTTGTGTTTTGTGCGTGCGCTTTTTCCTGCAGGGAGAAAATAGGAGGTGAATCGTATAACCTTTCAGCAACCTTCTGTTAAAGTTGGAGTGCTGCAGTTCAAGCAACTGAACAGATGGATAATGGAGACTGGGGATATATGGTAAGTGATCCAGTATAAATGTGCTTGTACGCTGAGCAGTGCAACTGGGCTCTCAAGATTGTGAGGTAAAAATCCTTCCAGATCTGTTTGTGTAGCTTCAGTCATGTGAGAAGAAAAAAAATGTGCGTGTTACAACAGCTTACTCGTATTCTCCTGTGTGTTTCACCTTACATGCTATTCGTGGGAGATCTCATATTTCCAAGCTAAAAATCAGCAAGTGCTTAACTGTCATTTTAAGCTCATTGTTACCATCTTCCTAATACATGAAGACTGAAAATAGTTTGCGGTTCCTGCATGTAGTTTTAAGGCCTGTATCATTTTATTTATAAAGAAAAATATTTTTCCTTATAAACTCTGTCTCAAACTAGACAAACACATGTTATTTTTCTCCCCTTCTCTTTCACTAAACATTCTGCTGCCGTCCATATGTCTCTTTTCTCTGGCTGGCCTGTGTCCTGATTGTCAGAATTGGTGGCCAGATGGGATTTTTATTCCTTTCTCTCTTGCTTCCTCATGAGTGATTTGGGAGCTGATGCAGAATGGCTCGGTGCTTTTCCCACTCTTCTATGCAGCATACTAATTTGCTAACAAATATTCCTTTTTAGAGTCAAAAGCTGAAAGTTCTTTTTTCTTTGCTTGCTTTAATGATGTCATTTAACCAGTGCATGGATAATTTTGGTTGTGTGCTCTTGGTCCCTTCTCTGAATTTTTGCTGTCTACCTCTTTTGAGGAAGAGGCTTGAGCTTAAGCCGATTTTTGCTCTAGAAAGAGACATTTTGAAAGTGAAGAGCGCTGCTAGGTCTCGTTCAAACTAACTTGTTCTGCAGGAAACCTCTCTGTTTTCATTTCCCTGTGTGTAGCGTAGGAAAAAACTTGTTGCACAAATGCAAAACTTCTGGAGTGGAGTAGCTGAACGTTTCTGGTTAAGGTTTCTAAAACATTCTGAAATGTGCTTTCCGAATGCAAAGTATTACCCTGCCTCGTTGCCAGTTGTGCCTTGTTGCTAGGTGGCTTGGATCTGTTCAGCTTTGAACACCGCTTAAAGACGTTAAATGGCAGAAATGCGATTCCTTCCGGACTCTGCAGCTTTCAAACAGTGTCTGCCGTGTGTGTCGCCGCGATGATTGATTTCTCTTGAGGTGGCTTGATAAACTCTGCAATTTCTCTCTTTCTAGATGACTGATCCAGTCACACTAAATGTGGGTGGACACATGTATACGACATCCCTCACAACTCTAACGAGATATCCCGACTCAATGCTTGGGGCCATGTTCAGGGGAGACTTCCCCACTGCCAGGGACTCTCAGGGCAATTACTTCATTGACAGAGACGGACCACTTTTCCGCTATGTTCTTAATTTTTTAAGGACCTCAGAGCTGACTTTGCCCCTGGACTTTAAGGAGTTTGATCTACTTCGGAAAGAAGCGGACTTCTACCAGATTGAACCACTAATTCAGTGTCTTAATGACCCCAAGCCGCTGTATCCTGTGGATACCTTTGAGGAAGTGGTAGAGCTGTCCAGCACTCGGAAGCTTTCCAAGTACTCCAACCCCGTGGCTGTAATCATCACTCAACTAACTATCACAACAAAAGTCCATTCACTCCTGGAGGGCATTTCAAACCACTTCACCAAGTGGAATAAGCATATGATGGACACCAGGGACTGCCAGGTTTCCTTCACTTTTGGGCCGTGCGACTACCACCAGGAAGTGTCGCTGCGGGTGCACCTGATGGAGTACATCACAAAGCAGGGCTTCACCATCAGGAACACGAGAGTCCACCACATGAGCGAGCGTGCCAATGAAAACACAGTGGAGCATAACTGGACTTTCTGTAGACTGGCACGGAAAACAGATGACTGATTCCAACTCTACAGGAGCCATTTCAGTGGGCAGCAACTCAGTTGAACAATAAACCTGAGAAAGGCTGGATTTTGGTGAAAGAAACAATGTGGGCTTTTTTTTTTTTTTTTTTCCTTTTTATACAATTATTTATTGTTAACCTTTAAGGACTGGAGGAGTTTCATTCTCTAGCAGCTCTGTCTCTTTGTCCTGTCCAGAAAAAAAAAAAAAAACATGCATGTGCCTGTTGAGTCGAGACACCTTTTTTTGTTTGAAAGAGGGAGTCGAAGATTTAGTACAATAGGGTATTTTGTGTCATTAACACAATTCTGACGCAACTTAAAGTGCTAAAATTACCTCTGTTTAAATAGTTTCTAATCCTTTTAATGCTATGCCACTGGGAGTAAGAAACAAACAGAATTTAAAATGCAGGTGGAGAAAAGCTGCTATCATGTAGACTAATTTAGTTTCTAAATCAATAAACAGTATTGTAATATTCTAGGAAAACAGATCCCACCCTTTAAAAGTACTTGATAAGTACAGTTTCTTACAGTTATGATAACTGTTTCTTTCTATGCATATAAATCAAGCAACCAAATATTATCTGTAGCCATGGAAATATAATTAGAAATATTTATATTGGATTCTGAATGCAAAATGTCCCTGTGGTAGAATTCATATTTTTAATGCCTGGTGCAATATTATTCCCAAATGTAATGCCTGCCAGCAAGAAGCTAATAAAGATGTGAAATATAGAGACCTATTTTGTATTTTTCATCTCCTAGAACTCTAATTCTTAAAACAAACAAAACCCAGAAACTCTTTTTTTTTTGGATGCTGTGTAGCAGTACAGATACCGTGATGGGGCTCCGCACTCCTCCGTTCCTGGCATACTTTGTTCCTTTTCATGCTTTTTAATCTTAATCAGTTGATGCAGCTGTCATTGTTAGAGAAGCAACTTGTGTATTGAAAATCATGCATTTTGACTGGTAGAACAGACAGCAACTATTTGTCCTGGTTTGTTAGAGACAGAGGAAACATATACAACCTATAAATTCTTGTAGCCACTAAGCAGTGGCTTACCCAGTTTGTCAGCAGTTTATGAGATGCCTGTTCATCTATATGTTCTAAGCATAGGGTGTTGTTTCTGATGCCATTCAAGTCAAGTCCAGCTCCGTGTTTCTGTTCAGTTTCATAGAGCCATTTTTGCTCATCTTGGGCACTTTGTCATAGTTACTTAAGGAATTTCTGATTATGCTCTGACTGGCATGCTGTTGGGAATAAGAGAGTTGATTTCTGTTTTGGTTGAACACATCGGGGTCTGAAAGAGTCTTGTCTCAAGGGTTTCTTACTGTAATTGCTTCCTACTTGGCCTATGTGGACCACAGTTCTTTGGGGATGTTCAGAGGCAGTCCGGATTTCTACCATAGCTGCTGGTTCTTGAAGCCTGGAGCCTTCCCCTCCTTCTCTCAGCCAGGAGGCTCTCAGGAGTATATTTTTCTGTCATATTTTGTCTTTCCTCTTTATGCATTGTAGGGGTTTTGACTTTTGTACTGTCAGTAGGAGTTTATTCTTAAAGGAACAAAAAAAAAAAAAGAAAAAAAGGCAAGCTGAACCGAGGAAGCTTGGGAAAGATGGTTGTTTCCTGAATGCTGCACACGTTATGAAATACCAGTGTTAAACTGGCATTTGATTATATAATATGTTCTTTGCAATACTTCATTTACTAGTAATGAATGATTGGCTTGCATCAGTCTACCCTTTACGTAATTGGGAAGTATAATTAATTGGAGAAGCAGTATTCCAAATAGTATGCTTTGTTGGAGCTGAAGGTTTACAGAAAGACAGTTGTGACAGGCTTTATTAGTGGGAGAGTAAGTGGCACAGACTGGAGCTGACCTTAACTTGCTCTGAATCTTCATTAGCCCTGGATAACTTAGAGCAGTGATGTAAGGGCTATTTTCCTTGTCCAAACAAGTGCAATATCTAACAGACTTCTTGATCTAAGAGAACATGCTTGGTTTCTAGGAGCCAAAGATTGTAATTTTATCTTGCTTGGGTGTTTCAGAAAAGATAGTTTGCTAGTTTTTGGGGGAGACACTGTACAGTAGTAACAAACAAGGTGAGCTCGTAGTAATTTTTTGACTTTGCATTGAATACCGTATATTTGGAAGAAGAATTGGAGAATCAAATTACTTATTTTCTGATGCTCTCTGGATACTTCAGGTTAGAAACAAAATAAAACTAGATTATTCCTGCTATGCAGCAGTGGGGACTGCTCACAAGCTGTCTGGCTTCTGCCTGTGATTAAATGCAAGCAATTAGCTAAGAATCTTGCTTCATGCATAGCAACTGCAAGCACGTAGCTGATTAACAATCTCTGATTAGTCATTACTGATGCTGTATAAATGTACTGCTGCACAAAGAACAGGAGGGAGGGAACTTATGTCCTTGGCTTAGATCATGTCTTCATAATTTTGATAGTGTGTTCTGAAGAAGTGGCTTCAGATATTTTCCATAAGCTGGGTTCCCCTGTTCAGAAAGAGAATGTGCAGAGGAATTAATGGCTGTTAGGCAGGGGGAACAGGCTATATGTATGTGTGTGTGTGTGTGTGTGTGTATATATATATATATGTATTTTTTGGAATTATCTCTGAAATGCAGAAAGCTAGATCACTTAAAAAATCTTCAACTATATGCAAACTCTCTTTCGCTATAATATATGCTGTCCTCTGTAACCAGTACACAATGCTTCATAACTCAAATGGAATAGCATGCAACTTAATTTCCAAAAATATGCTTGAACTTGAATATTTGCTGAAGGCAAATGTGCTCACCTGTAGAATTTCAAAGGGAGGACTGTTTACCACAAGAAAAACTTCACTTAAGGCAAGATGAGTTTTCAAATATAGTAGTAGCCCTTTGCATCATGCATGGCTTTGCATCACTCCACAATGGGGAGATATTTAAGAAACTGGAGGTTTGTTCTGCATGCAAATCAAGGCTAAATGGCTTTTGTGACCTGCTTCCCTGTCCCATCTCCTCCTCCACCATGGGATAGGGATGTTTGCTCTGTGTCCCACTGGTTTGAGCTCGTGGCAGTGCTGGGGTCTAGCCTGCAAGCTGTTAAACCTGTGAGCACATGGCTGGAGCATCACAGTTCGTGGCTCCAAGTGGAATACCGAGCTTTAGAGGCTCTTATTCTGCTTGCTTTTATCTGCCTTGCCCTATTCAAAGGAAAAGCAAACAATTTGTGCCGTGGCTGACAGAAGAGCTGCTGGGCTGTGAGCCAGCGCCGTACCTGCTGGTTGGTGGGCGACCTGCGAGCCCCCTCGTAGAGCCGCTGGTAAACCTGCCCGTCATAACTGCCAAGAGCAGAATTCAGGTTCTTGTCTGTGAAGTCAAAAGCATCCACTAGTGGAACAGCATCCTTCCTAAGGAGAAGACAAAGCACATTCATATTAATGGGAGGGGATACCGCTTTGCAAGAGAGGGAAAATAAGTTGGAGTGAATCTGCAAGTCAGTTGTCCAAGCTCATCCAAAATTCTTGCACTGGTTTTCTTGTTTGTCTAAGCTGTAAGGAAAATCCTGTTTGTTTTGATTCCTCGGGGGCATGTTCCAAGTTGTCCGTATTGGTGAATGGATGTTTTCAAATCTGTAATCTCTGTAATCTAATTTAGGACTCAGTGTCATGTTAGGCTATCTTATCAGCGGGGTTTGTTGGTTTCTTTTCCTCCTCCTCTCTGCTTTACATGTTTGTCTTACAAAATGGAATGAGGTCAGTGCTAGTTTGATCTGAAGTGCTTTTCTGCTCTCCACTCTTCATCTACACTTAAGTACTGCTGTAACATCACTGTGGGGCACGCAGGCTCTGCTGTCATCAGCTCATCTCTAAGCACAAAGCAACCCTGAACCAGGCTAGACCAAGGGCCCTGTCTCTGATAGCAGCCAAGAGCACAAGATAAGGGTGAGTATGTACTGACCTGGGCCTTCTAAGCAGGAGATGGTTTCTTTTTGTCTTATCCTCGTATTGTTGCAGGATAGGAAGTTCTGCTGTCTGTACCCCACACATGAAGTAGGGAATGCAAAGTGGCTTGCTCGAAAGCTGTCGTTTGCACGTACGAGTCCCTTCAGACCAGAGATATTTGTATCTTTTTTTTTCCACAATCCTAAATAACTGGCTTAGCAAGTAAATACCCTCTCCTTTCTTGAATCCTGTTAACTTCTCAGTCTCTGCCCTCTTAAAATTAATTCCAAAGACAGCTATGTGAAATTAGGGACTTCTTGAAAATGACTCTTAAGCTGATTTCCTTGTGAGTTCTCTGATTAGTTCTGAAGATACCTGCTGTTTGGCTCCCTGCTGCCCAGCTGCTGGTTGTGGTGTGTTGTTGTCTCTCACCAACTGATTTACGTAGGATTTTGCCTACAGCAGCATCTCCCTTCTCTGTGCTCTGTCCTGAGCAGGCAGC